ATGGGCTACAGGTTCTAATTTATGAAGAAGATAAAAGACTACAGCCTTCAATATGGATTATATCTCACCATCAATAAAATAAAAATCCTTGCCATTAGACTAATGGGCAACATCAAAATTGGTGGAGAAAACATTGAAGTTGTCATGATTTTATTTTCCTTGGATCCACAGTCGACATTCATGATAACAGCAGTCAAGAAGTCAAAAGATGCATTCGACTGGGGAAAGCTGCTGTCATGGATCTCTTTAAAGCACTAAAGAGTAAAGATGTCTGTTTAAAGACAGGTGCGCTTGGTCCAAGACAAACTATTTTCAGTTACTTCCTGTGCATCTGAAAGTTGGAGAATAAGGAAGATCAAAGGACATTCAGTGCTTTTGAATATACCATGGACTGCCAAAAGAGAAAAAAAAAATCTGTCTTAGAGGAAGGGCAACCTTAGAGTTAAGGGTGGTGAAATTTTATCTCACATACTTTAGGCACGTTATCAAGAGGGCCAAGTCCTTAGAAAGAGACATCATGGGAAAGGTCAGCAAAGAGAAGAAGGCCCTTAATGAGCTGGACTGACATAGTTACTGCAGCAGTGGGCTGGAGCACAGTGGACATCATGAAAATGGCACAGAATAAGGGTGGGTTCTGATCTGTTGTTCATAGGGGTGTTCAGAGTCATACTCAACAAGAAAAAATGGGACCTAACAACCAAAGCAAAAATTCTGACATAGTTCACACAAAGAAATACATGAAATGGTCAATAAATACGTGAGAGCATCCCCAACAGAGAAATGCAAATTAAAACCACAAGGAGATGCCACTAGAGACCCAGTAGAATGCCCAAATATAAGACTATCACTACTAAGTGTATGTGAGGAACATAAACGCTCATACCATAGCAGGAATGCAAAATACACAACTATTTGAAAAGTGCCTGTCAAGTTCTTGCAAAAATAAATTTACACTTATATGACCCAGCTTCTGAGTCAGAGTCTATTCAATGGCACATAACAACTTAGCAATTCTACTCTTTAAATCTAAGAGAACTGAAAATATATCTACACAAATACTCAATAGGAGTTCTATTCATAATGGCTAGAAAATGGACACTATCCAAATACTTATGTCCTGGTGAATGGCTTAACAGATTGTAGTATATCCTTCCAGTGGAATATTAGTTGTCATGGAGTCAATTCCAGGTCATAACGACCCATGTGTGTCAGTGTGTCACAGTAGATCTGTGTTCCATAGGACTCTCAGTAGCTGATTTTTCAGAAATAAGTTGCCAAGCCTTTCTTCCAAGATGCCTTGCATGGAACTGAACCACTAATTAGCAGCCAAGCACATGAAGCATTTGCACCTCCTAGGGAATCCCAGGAGACTGTTAGTCAACTACTGAAAAGAGCAACCCACTGGCACAAGTAGCAATGTGGGTGAATCTCAGAAATAACGATACTGAGTGGAAGAGTAGAACTCAGATATAAAAGAGCACACACACTGTTTGATTTCATAGATGTCGAAATCTAGAAAAAGCTAATCTGTACAGACAGATCATTGCTAGGGCTGAAGGCTCGAGTAGGCTGGAGGCTCGAGTTGGGAGGATCAAAGTGGGAATAGGTCGTAGACGTGATTATGATAGTGTTTGCTATGTCTTGATTGTGGCAGTGTTTGCAAAGATTACTTATTTTCTTTTTCATTGCCATTCAGTTGGAACCAAATTCACAGCTGAACTTATAGTTTGAGGTTTTCAGAAGCTGTCAAATCATATGAGGAAAAGCTTGCCCATTTATCTCCTGCCAAACCTGGTGGATTTGAACCGCCAGAGGCATCATCTTAGGGTGAGCAGTGCAACCCCTCTGTGGACTGTGCCACCAGAGCTCCCCATATTAATAACAGAGATCAATGTGACAAACTATAAAGTTGATGTATTTTATTATAAAGTGAAACCTGCAAAAGCCTGAACATGAATAAGGCAGAGCCCTGTCAGAGAAGAAAGATTCCACTAATAATTTATTAAGTGCTGTTACATTGTGGGGTTAACAATCAATGTCACAAACCAAATTGTGTATCAAAAGTTGAATGGAAAACTAATTTACTCTATAAACTTTCACTCAAATCACAATTTTTTTAAGTTAGAAAATAATAGAACTATAGTCAAACCATATACTGCCCAAGACAAAAAAAACAAAACTTGTAAGAAAACAAGTCTTTCCTATTGAGTTATATATAGTGAAGCTCTCACTAGAATGAGCTTTTTTTTTTTTTTTCGTTTTCCCCCATGACTGCTCTGAGTCCTGAGAAGGCAGGCCACTTAAAGGCAGATCAGTTGAAGCAGAGTGGTCTCTGAGTGGTTGACAGAGCTCTTTGTCGTCACAGGAGGTATGATGAGGAAACCAGCGAGAATGAGGCAGCCCCAGAGGAGGAGGAGGGAGTAGGAGAGGAAGATGTGTTCGCTGAGAAGCCCTCACTGGATGTGGACCCGTGCCTGGAAGCAGTAAAGGTAGGGGGAGGTCCAGGGAGCCAGTGAGGGGAGGGGTACATCAGGGTAGCAGTCCTCAACCCTTGGAACCTGGGAAGTCCGCAGAGGTTTGGGGCTGAATCTCATCCTCCAGAGTCAAGGGACAGCTTTCAGATGGAGTTACCTGCAGAAGGTTCTGTGGGAGTGTCCCTGCCTGTTCACTGGATCATTTCAGTGATAGCATGCCAGTGGAGGCAAACTTTGCCCTTTCGTCTCTTCTGCCCTCTGAAATCCCGTTTCCCTGGACAGAACTCAAATTTTGTAGTCAGAGAGGTCTTAAGTTCAAATCCTGCTTCATCTATCCCCCAACTGTGTAATCTTATGCAGCTCACTTCCTCCTTCTCGAGCCATACTCACCAGCCACTGTGGAAGACAGATTTCAGCCTTGGAAATCCTGTGGGGTGGTTCTGCTCTATGCTGTGGAGTTGCTCTGAGTCAGAATCGACTCAACAACAATGGGTTAAAAAGGGAACAGTAAGACTGATTTTGCAGTTGGGTTCTAAGACCCAAGTACAATAGGGAAAGCCAATCCAGTCAGGTTCTCTGGGATTCTGCTGTGTCGTACCAAGATTACTTATGACAACAGCATTGCCTCCCCAGAAGATCTATTTTCCTACCAGCTTGCCTCCTGAAAGGAACACCCAGTTATGTTTAAGCAGAACACCTGCTTGTGGAGGAGCAAGGCCCCAAGAGGAGAACCTGGGGCCCTCTCACTGCTCCACACTAAGAGGGTACTCCCCAGCCAGAAGGCTTTTTCAAAATTGTGCACAAGTTCTTAAAGGCTAACAGAAGCCTTACACTTCGGGGTTTGTGGTGTTGTATTTTGTTGTGACAGCTAACCTCAAGACTCAGTTTTTAAGAACCAGGCTTGTTGACTGCCTTCCTAATTCTGAGAGTTTCTGCTGTGGAGGCCTTGGCTGTATTTCTACCAAAATGTGATCAGCACACAGGTCTTCAGGATATGAAGTTCAGGCATGAATACATGCATCACCTCTGCTGATAACATGATTTTGTGGGTCTAAACGTGCTCCCACCAACTCCAACTCACAGTGCTATTAGAAAGGGAACTGGTATGCGTGACCTCCGCACCCTCCTGGCAGGGCAGGCTGAGCTGAATTAATCATACAGGGTAGGACTGAAAAGGCCCCCAACTGTGTCTGTAGACCAAAGGTGGGGGCAAGGAATAGACGGGATCTGGGAGTGTACCTCATTGGTCTCACATGAATGGCTGAGGACTTAAGGTAACTGGTGGCTTCAGGGTTTTATGACTTCTTCCTCAGGTGGACAAAGAAACCAACACAGAGACCCCAGTCCCATCTCCCACCGTGGTGCGGCCAAAGGACCGGCGAGTAGGCACCCCATCCCCAGGGCCATTTCTTCGAGGGAGTACCATTATCCGTTCTAAGACCTTCTCCCCTGGACCCCAGAGCCAGTATGTGTGCCGGGTAAGTGTATGTCACTGTCCTCCACCCCAGGGCACCACTTCTCGGGGTCACAGCGCGGTCTCAGCCTCGCACAGTACTGGGTGCAAATCCCAATACCTCTCCTTCTCACTGCCTGGGTTGCCAATGAGGTTCAGTTTCCTCACCTAGAGTTAAGAGAGCAGCTTCAGGGATTGTTTTTAAGGCTCTGGCTAGTTAAAGTTTGGAAAGGACTCAGTAGCCAGTCCATGGTCAGTGGATTTCATCGTCATCATCATTATTATTACTATTATGCACTCTCTACCTCCTCCCTGTCCACACCTTGCCCTTCCTTACCATTTGCTGTGTCCACTAACTATTCAAGAACAGTTTCTGCCTTTTTTCTGTGCCTTTTTGTTTCTATCCCTGGAGAGTTCCCTGTGTGCAGCTGGAGGTCGCATAATGGCAACAGATAAGCTTTATTTAGTGACAAGTTTTAGTTTTTCCATTCAATTCATTGTATTTGAAAATTAGGAAAAGCTGCCGTGGATTATTTACCAACATTTCACAATTAGAAGAGGAAGTATAAAAATCATGTTTCACATGTAATTCTAGTTTCTCTTGGAAAAAATCGACTCTCTGGCATAACAGGTAACATATGCTGCCACAGCCACCCTCCGCCTGGGCCGGAGCAGTGGTGGCAACAGCCTATAGATGAAAGAAGGGAGAGGAAGTACTTCAGATCACTCTGGCCTCTGCCTGGCCCTCTTTACCTAGTTGAGGTTTCCACCTGCTCTGTGGGCCTCGTTGGTTATTTAAAACCTGCTCTAGGTTTCCATTCCATCATACCTTCATCTTGTGATCCTAATCTTCGTTTTCCTAAGCCGCTTTCCTTCATTCTACAGCAGGTGAAGGGTTTGAGTACTTACCAAGTTTGAAGCTGTCGTGCCTAGTTGTTGGAGACATAGCAAGACTCTGCTGCCTACCTTTTTCTGCCAGGAAAGATACACATTTATTGCCTGAGTCTAGACTTCCATGGTATATCTGTGAACATAGTTTCCTCCCTCCACCATATAGTAAAGGAGTTTGGGTGGCAAAGTGAGTAGGGAGTTGCTCTGCAGATATAAAGGCAGTGCCTCTTGTGGTGTGGATCCATCAGCGTTTCTGCTATGGGGCAGTCCCCTCCTGCACGATTTATGGCTTCAGAAAACCCTCAGGATGGTCAGCAATATGTCAGTTCTGACCGAATGCCTGTGAGTTGAGTTTGACCCTAAGCTATTGAACAGTAAATGGAAGTATAAAATATTTAAAAGACTTGTGGAGCTTTGCCTCTATCAACTGGCACCCTAATTTTCCTATTGTTATGGAGAGAGACATGGAGAGCAAAGTAACTGAGTATTTGGTACCCAAGGCTTTCAGTTATAACACTGAGAAGCTAACTTCTGCATAACATAAGCATTTTCATTTATGTACTAGTGCTTATCAAATGTTATTACTCTCACGGCAACCCCAAACACAGTGGAAGGAACCCCGCAGCTCCTGCCCCGTTGCTGTGAGTGCTTGCAGATTGTTCTGTGGTGCAGGTTGTACTTTCTCAGGTTTTCCTCAGCTGATTTTCTGAAGGGATCACCAGACCTTTCCTCCTAGTCCATCTTTGTCTGGATACATCAAGCATCACAGCCACACTCAAGCCCCGTTGGTGGACCATGTGTGGCTGCTGAATGGAGATTGACTCGAATCCCAAGTCTCTGCATGGAAGACAAGAATCCTGTTCCTTACCTCCCACTGCACCTCTTTAGTCAAACTTATTTTCATACCATTGAGTCGGTTCTGACTTATAATGACCCTCCATCAGGCTTCCAAGGCTGTAAATCACACCTGGAGGAGCCTTCTCGCCACATTTCTCCCTTGGAGCCACTAGTGACTTCAAACTGCAGGAGACATACAGCCTTGGGGTTAGAAGCAAAATGCTATATAAACCACGCCCCCAGTGCTTTTTATTGCCACCGAAACAGACCCTGCGAGCCCTCCTAGCAATAGCATAGCCCAACCACCGTGTCAGATCGCTAATTGTTTATGGTTATGGGCTTCTGAAAAGATAATGCAAACACAGTATGTGTGGGCTATGCATCTTGTAAAAGGAGTAGGATTTCAAAAAAAAAAGGAGTAGGATTTCCTGTAATCACTGAACGTGACGTTGGGGAATTCCTGAATGGCAGGTGAAGGATCTTGCAATTAAGCCAGCTCACAGCTGAAGATGAGAAAAAGCCAATCAGTGTTTCCAAAGTGAATCATTGGAAGGATTTAGGCAAGCTCTTAGGATAATAGAGAAAGCCCTCTGTTTTTGCTAAAATTATTGCCTTTATGAACGTGCCTTTGAAATCAAACACAAAAGGTAGAAAGTTGCTCATCAGGGAAATCATACCAAAGAAATTCATGTTCGAGTCATTCTTTTGTTAAAAAAAATATCAAAATTAGAATGTAGTTTGAATTTTATTAAGTGGAAAATATAAAACAGACTAGTTTTTATAAAATGTCTTTGTTTTCAAAGATGTAATCAAACTCTCCTCTCCAGTATTTACTATAAATTCTGTACCTTGCTTAAAAGATTCGCATTAAGAGACATCTATACCATCCTTGGCACAACAGTGAGCATTGCACGTATTTCGGTATCTCTGTCACTTAGGATAGGGAGCTCTGTCTGCTGACTTAGCACTAACCAACTGAAAGGCAGACTCTAGTGTTTGAATCCACCTGCTACTCTATGGGAGAAAAATGGACAGCTCCTCTTGTGAAGTTCACTGCCTCTGGAAGCCTAGCTGAGGATTAGCTTTGAGTCTTAGTTCCAACTCTATGGTACGTAACAGCAACAACATCGTTAGTTAGGGTAAAGACACATTGCTAGTTCTGTGGTAGAATTCTCTCTCACCTCTCATGGGGAGGCTCAGATTTAGTTCCCAGCCAGGTTTTAGACATGGGTAACCACATCTGTCTGTCCCTGGAAGCTTTCATGTTGCTCTGATAATGAGTAGGTTTCTGTGAAACCTCAAGACAGGCAGACTAGGAAGAAAGACCTGACGATCTGCTTCTGAAAAGCAGCTGATTAAAACCTGTCCACAACAGTCCATATGCAGCCCATCACAGTATGGTGAAGGATCAGGTGAGGTTTCATTTCCTTGCTCACAGGGTTGCCCTCAGCCAGGGCCAACTTGGTGGCCACTAACAGCAATGTAGGTTAAAGTGCTTTCTTTTCCACAAGACTGCAAATTAAGACACTCAAAATCAATATGACCCCATTCCACAGGCAGTAAGGTACAAGTCTTTTTTAATATTAACTCCTGTGATAATTTATTGAGACACACTTTATACTTTTAGTTATTGTCTGGTAGCTTTGCATTGTGTAGGGGAGGAAGTATGTTGAAAGGCATACCCAGGACACTTAAGCCAGGACAAGGGTTTTATCTTTTCCTGAGCCATAATGAAGGAAGGTGGGGAGCAAAGTCCCACAACTAACATGACACCATTGGTACCATTTACTATAGAATAAAGGCAAGTGGACTGACCTAAGAATGGGTAGAAAAATAGGATCACAGGTGAAAGTGTGCTGGAACAGAGGCCTGTGTTCTTTAGTCCATGTCCTTTAGTCCATGTTCCTGAGTTGGTCTCCTTTACGACATCATGCTGGGAAAAATACAGGCTCAGCATAAGGGGAAGAAGACCTTCAGCAAGATGGGTTGGCACAGTGACTGTAACAATGGACTCGAGCATCGCAGAGATCATGAAGGTGCTGCAGGAGAGGGCAACGTTCAGATCTATTGTTCACAGGGTCGCTAGAATCATGATGTGCTTCATGGCACTAACAACAATACTGATCTATGAGAGTGCAGATAATTACTGTACTCCTGATAGCGCTCCTGTAACACCTGGGCATTTAACACCTTCATAATCAACAGCAGGGCTATCAGATTTCGTGGTCTACTTGTTTTCATCTAACAGATGGAGCCCTTATAGGTGTTCTTTTCCCTAAGCTAACTCCTGGTAGCCTGTCTCTGCCTTCGTTTTCCTAGCTAGGGAAAGGAAATAACATCAAACCAATAAGATTTATACCATGTCTGAGATAATCTATTTTTATATGAGAAAACATTAAATTCTTGGTGAATAGCAACAAGGGTCTTAAAAGCTTATGAACTTTGTACCCCCAATATGTTTTTTCCAATAAAAAAATATTAAAAAAAAAAGCTTATGAACTTATCTAAGGTTCAACTATGGTCTCTCCTTGTATGGAACAAAGAAAAGAAGAGGTGTATAAAAACAATTAGGCCAAAGGACAACTGACCCATGACTTCAATTTCCATGTTCTGAGACCAGAAGACCTAGATGGTTCCCAGCTACCACCACTGACTACTCTAAAAGAGCTCTCAATAGATAGATGTTGCATTGAATGGTGGACAGGTGAAATAAAACTCAAAATCAAAAAAGAGGCAGGCATTCTGGCCTCTTAGGGACTGGTGAGACCCCTCAGACAATGCTATTAGTTACCCTTCTAACCTGGAACAAAACTCCTCCCTGTCACCCAACTTTCAGCCAAGCTATAGACAGACCTTTCAGGTGACCAGTCACACCAGGCAGGCAGGCATTCCTTAGAGGAACCAGAAGGGCAGTCAAAAGAGCTGCACTGACCCGAGATAAAGCCCTGGAAGGTAGGAAGGGAGAGGATAGAAAGACTAATGGAAATGAGAGCTACAGGGAAGAAATGGGAAGGGTGTGAATACATTGTGGATATAATAATTTTATAAAACAAAGTGTGTATTAATGGTTGAATGGATAACCAATTCTCTTTGTAAACTTTCACTCAAATCACAGTTGTAGAAGAAAAAAATTGAGTTCAAGAACTACTGCAGCTTTCATAGGTATTTTACGACACAAACTATATTTTTTTTAAAATTTTATTATTTTTTGTGCATTGTACCGTCAAATCAGATCTGACTGGTACAGGAGGAGATTGTCCCTCCTTCTGCAGCAGAGCATCTGGTGGATTCAAACCAGGCACATCTGGAATTGCAGAGCAGCTTCTTGCCACTAGGCCACCAGAGCTCCCTACAAACTATAAGGATGAATGATAGTGGGCATAGGTATTTTGGTTTTATAAAACACATAGAAATGATAGTATAAAACACAATGTGAATGAGGAATGTGTGAAATACAGTGGGTATGAATGAAACACAATGTATATGTATTTTGTATGCAAACCAATATAAAATTTTTAAAAATACTTATTTTTTAAAAAAAGGAGTGGATGAATAAATGAACACAAAAACATGAGGGAAAAAAAGGCTGAATTGTCCTGTTCATATCTGAGTTGGTATTCGAACCTGGTGCCACAGTAGTTAAAGCACTTGACTGCTTACCAAAAGGTTAACTTGAACCAGCCAGCCATTCCAAAGATGCAGCCTTCTGCCTTCATAAAGATCACAGGCTTAGAAACCCTATAGGACAGTTATACTCTGTCCTAAGGGTCACCATGAGTCAGAATTTACTGAACAGCAGTGAGTTTTTCTTCTTTTGTTTGGTTTACAACACGTGTTCAAAGTCCTAATAGTACAAATAGTTAAGTGCTCAGCTGTCATTCAGAAGGTTGACCGGCAGATGCACCCAGCAGTTCTGCTGGAGAAAAGCCTGGCAGTCTGCTTCCATAAAAACCGTAAGATGACAGTGCAGTTCCGCTGGATCACAGGCTCACTATGAGCCGATGGCACTTAACAACAACATGCCAGATAATCTGCAAGAGCTGCCTTTGAATGAGAACAACATAGAATAAAGTTCCCTTCTGATAGGAGAGCCAGCCAGTCCTTTGATGTGAATCCACCAGTTGTCAGGAAGGACCACATCTCAGTCTGCACTTTAGTTTTATCTCTGAACCACAGGTGCAGCCAGATAGAGAGGACATTGAACCCCTGTTCCAGTGTGCCCCAGCTCTGTGCTTGTAAAGGGCTTCTGACTCTTGAGGCCTCAGTTCCCTCATGCCTTATGACTTTCTGAGGATTAAACAGGAAACTTCAAGAAAACATTTGGAACAAACATCAAAGGTGATCAGTCCCTGTGTCTGATGATTGTCACTGTTACTCCACATCGTGTTCTACTGGGGCTTTCGCTTGCACGGTCGCTGCTTCATCAGCGAAGTCCCCAGGGTTACTGTGTTCATCAACTTAGCAGGACTATTAATGCCATTATCATTAATGATTATTAATAACCACAAGAATGATGCTACTAACAGCTCCTCAGGAGAGACTTGCAGCAGTGAGCTGACAGCTGAGAGAACAAGCAGGCTGTGTGGCACCAGCGTGTGGTACTGTACCAACGTGGGAACTTCATTCTAGAAAGCAGCCCCCTCCCCGACATGTTGTCCTTCTTCTCCCTCTCCAGTCCCTCTCTGGGGAACACATGCAGGCCTATCTTGACACAGCCATAATCTTTGGTATAAATGGAGATACATCAATAGCAATAACCAGATAATTGAAGGGAGGGATCCCTATTTGCTTCATCTCCTCCAAGGAGATAATCCCTGAAAATTTGCCATTTTAAGTGTACAATTCAGCAGCACTAAAAATATTTAGTAGGCTATACCACCATCATGTTCCACATTTTTCCTGGTTTTTCCTTTTGTGTTGTTTTGTTTCAAATCCCTCTTGAGAGTGTCTCCATGGAACCAATAAAAGTGAGGCTCTCTGGGAAGACTGAAAGGGTAAATATAAATAGGCCTTTGTGTCTAAAACCAAACCCATTGCCTTCAAGCATATTCCACTTCTTAGTGACTCTACTGACAGGGCAGAGCTGCCCTGTGGTATTTCCAAGGGTGTCTTACAGATTCTCCAACAGAATGGTTTATGAATTTGAACCACCAACTTTGTGGCACTTAATTTCTGCCCCACCAGGACTCTGAGACTGCCCAATAAACCCCAAGACCTGTTGTTCTCATGTTTCCAATTCATAGTAACCTTGTGTTTTACAGAACAGAAATCTCTGGAAGTAGATCACCAGGCCTTACTTCACCAGTGCTACTGGGAAGTTCATATTCCCACAGTTTAGATTAGCAGAAAAGCATTAAATATGTACACCACCCCAGGCCTTTTGTAGAAGATCCAGGGGACACAATTCTCGCCCTTGAGTGCACTACCTGGTGTCAAGTCCTAGTTGTGTTGTTGTGTGGTTGATAGGTACCATAGAATCAATGAATTCCTTCTGTGCAGCCCTCTTACCTTGGGGAGCCTGTGTAATCCCTGAGTCTCTGTCTCCTCATTTGGAAAACAGTTAGGTGTTCTTATCATAGGAGATTGTTTAAGGATTGAACAACATATTACAAGTATGATATGTAACAGCATCCATCATGCAAAAGCAAAGTGAAGCCTATTACTGTAGAGTTCAATTCCTAATGACCCAGGAAAACAGACCAGAGCTCCCATAGAGATTCGAAGATTATAATCTTTACAGGTGCAAACTTCCACATCTTTCTGCCCTTTTTAATTCAAACCACTTACCTTTCAGGAAGCAGCTGAGCACCAGTGTTTTTTGTTTTGCTTTTTTTCTTAAGGTAGAAGGTATCAATGCTTCTTACATCTCACATGTTGTTATTGTTGTTGTTGTTGTTATGTACCATCAGGTCAGAACCAACTCATAGCTGACCCTCCAACAGGTTTTCAGAAGCTATATATCCCACCCTGGATGAGATGGATTGATAGAGTAACCGGGGTGATGGGGTTGGTGTGTTGGAGTCAGTGAGACTGGCTCAGAACAGAGAAGGTTTCAGAGCTGCTGTTCATAGGGTCACTATACATCTCAGGCGACTCAAATGGCACATAACAGTAACATACTATGACAGGTTTGGAAGCAGGAGTGGCATCCACTTCCTAAACAACATGCCTCCGGAAACTTTATGAACTTTGATAAATGTCAATAGTTGTAGAGAAGGGCTTCAGGCCTTTTGTTCATAGCGTCACTATGAGTCATGCTTGACTTGAAGGCAATCAGCAACAGCATATGTCTCAGGAGAGGAGATTGCTCATCTTTCTCCCTTGGAGCAACGAGTGCATTTGAACCCCGTGCCTTCCAGTTGGCAACACAACTCCTTACCACTCAGCCACCAGGGCTCCCTTGCATCTCACATAGATATACTAAATAAATATTTACCTGTAGAAAGAGAAAGGTCAGAATAAAACTCACGTCTTGCCGTATTTGCAGACTGAGAAGCAGGATTAGGCCGAGTGGAGGCTTGACCCAGAACACCTTCCAGAATGCACTGTGGCCCTGATGCTTATGGATTCCCTCAACTTTTCTCTTGCAGCTGAACCGGAGTGATAGTGACAGCTCAACTCTGTCCAAAAAACCACCATTCGTGCGGAACTCTCTAGAACGGCGCAGCGTCCGGATGAAGCGGGTGAGTAACTTCAAAGTTATATGTATGGCTTCTACACCTAGGTTTCCCCTATCCCGTCCACAACGCCCTGGTCCCTGGCCATTTCTCTTTAGTCACTGGTTTGGAGAATATTCCTCTCGGAAGCATGCTGGTATTTGTGCAGGTACTAGGGAAGGTAACAGAAGGTAGATATAACATTATTATCAAGAAGAACAAGAGATAAGACATTAGGAGTGTGAGAATTTGGCCTTGTCTTCCTGGATAGAAACTGGAATTATTGAAAACAAAGCAACTGAAATGTCATGGTCATCCTTAGCATGTCTGCTTTGATGGGAGCTTGCGCCCTGTGAAATTCTATGCAGATGTCTCCCACCTCACTGACTGCCACATGTTCTGATAACCCTGTGTGTCAGGGACAGCTGAGAACAGCATTGCCGCAGCGTGGAGAGGTTTAAAGAGCTTCTTTCAAACTAGCTGGTGATACACAGGGACAGGGGCCACTGCAGGCTGCCCCTGCAGAGAAGCCTTGTGTATCGTTACGGAATCTCAGCCGAGGGGTAAAGAGCAGGGCGGTGGTGTTCAGCCAAGGACCAACACTTAATTCTGTCTGTTATAGCCAGGGCTGGCCTTTCAGCACAGACTTTAAAGCAGGCTACTGAGTTTGGAGAATCTGAAGCAACAGAGGGGCCAAATGTCAGAAAGAAATTACGTAAAATGTAGGCTAGAGAAGGGGAGTTCTTCTCTGCGCCTTTGCAGACCTGCCTGTTGACAGCATGCTGAGCATGGATTAAGGCCATCCATTAGGAATCCCTTCCCCCAGCTAAAGTGGAAGAGAGTGGATGTGGGGGATCGTGGCCATGGCCTCAGGTGGCAGAGAGGACCAGCTGCGCAGTCCAGGTCTCCACTCCGTCCCTACTATGGAATCTCTTAAATGTCAGGAGTCCCCCAGATGTTTGGCAGAACTCATTTTCCTTTATTTTCCTGGTAGGTGCTGGCCAGGAGCCACTTTTGGCTCCTAGAGGCCACTCTCTGGCCTTTGACATGTGGCCCTTTTCCCTAACGTGACTATTTGCTTTTTGTCTCTAGAAAGGGACTCATTTTAAGTCCCTCTTTTAAGAGTCCTGGGCTTTGCCTGATTAAGTCAGGCCCACCCAGGATAATCCCTCTTTTTCATTTACTCAAAATTACTTGATTTGTAATCTAATCATGGTGTTATGACTATAATATTCACAATTCACAAGCTCCGCATATATTCAATGAAAGGATATTATAGGATATATATACCCAAACCAAAAGCAAACTACTGCCAATGAGTTACTTCCTAGAAACAGAGTAGAATTGTCCCATAAAGTTAGCAGAGCTATAACTCTTTACAGGAATACACTGCCACATCTTTCTCCATTGGAGCAGCTGGTAGTTTCAAAGCGCTGGCTCCTCAGCTACTGTCAGGTGCTTTAACCACTGTGCAGCCAGCATACCTATGGTGTATATAGACCAGGGAGTAGAAATCTAATGGGCTGCTGAGTTAGAATCCTGCCTTCCACAGTCATTTAATTTAAATATTTTTTTTAATTATTACTATTTTATTGGTAGAAATGGAAGAATTGGTGATTACATTAATCAGGCTCTTTCCCATGCATGTAACTGAAGACTAACCCCAATACAGTTTAAAAAGTAAAACAAGAAGCATATTCACTCATTTAATGGAAAAGTCCAAGATGTTGGAGTAGCTTCAGGTGTGGATTGATCCAGGTGTCAACCAATGCCATCTGGTTTCAGTTTTCCTTGTCTAGAACTGTTCTCTCCATGTAGCTTAATGCTTAAAGGATACTCTCAGAAAAACCACTTTATCTTGCCAAGGTAGCAGTCTTTGTATGAAGAAATGGCCTTACTTTCCAAGTACCAGGGACATGGGGGGCGGGGTGGGGAGGGAAGGAAGCCAGAACTGTGTTTTATTGACTGGGCCTAGATAAACATGCTCATCTCAAAATCATCACTGAAATTCCGATTGGCTAAAATTAGGGTAAGACATCCCTATCCCTGAAGCCCACCCATTACACACCATTGAGATTGAGATTAGAGATAAGATTGCTGCTACAGAAAGAGTGGTTACTGAAAGATGCTACACAGGGTGAAATAAGAGGTCCCTTACAAAACAAACCCAGAAAATGTGACTTCTGTCCTCAAGGGAAGAAAGAGAAGCTAGATCAGCATTTAGGAAACAACTTAAGAACAGAATAGAGACTGAAGTCCATACGCTCTGAATGCACTGAAAGCCAGGAAGTTGGCACAGTGCACTGAAACAACGGCTCACTGGCCAGCTGTGTGGGTTGGGATCTCCTACTTACTAGCTATGTGACTTCCCTCTGTGAGCGTCATCTGTACATTGAGGAAGATGCGACTTCATGATGACATTGGTCTCTGACACATAGCAAACCATGTACAGTGAGCGGAAGGAAACCCTTTCCATTCCTACACCCATCCTCACAGCCAGTCATGCTGAAGTTCATTGCCGTAGTCACTGTGTCAGTCTATCTTGTTGAGAGTTCCTTATTCTCTCACCTTCAACTCTTCCAAGCATGATGTCCTTTCCTAGGGACACCTCACGCACAGGATGGTAAAATGAGGTCAGGAAAGTAAAGCTCTTTGCACCACACCTGGAGCCTAAGAACCACTTCAAAACCCCTCTACCAGTCAGATCCGATTTGACAGTACACACACAAAAAACAATTAAAAAAATTTTTTTAAATTAAAAAGAAAGAAACACTTAACAACCAGAAGCTGTGTAAGAGGGAGAATCCAAGTCAGGCTTTTAGGGGGAGTATGAACCTGTTTCTGAAGGAGCAGGAGCCTGCAGCTTAATAGAAGATATTTACAGCCTTGGGAAAAAAGGATGACTTGGGTGATTAGGGTGCCCTTATAATGGACCAAAACTCTGCCCTCACAGCCTTCATCAGTCAAATCCCTGCGTGCAGAGCGTATGATCCGCACCTCGCTGGACCTCGAGCTTGACCTGCAGGCCACAAGGACCTGGCATAGCCAGCTGACTCAGGAGATCTCAGTGCTAAAGGAGCTCAAGGAGCAGCTTGAACAAGCCAAGAGCCATGGAGAGAAAGAGCTGCCACAGGGGTTACGTGAGGACGAGCGCTTCCGCTTGCTGCTGAGGATGCTAGAGAAGAGGGTGAGTGGGTGCCTAAAAGGCAGGGGAGTCGGGAACGTCCTACCCTTGGAGAGGAAAAGTGTTTCCTCCTGCCATCAAGAAAAGAGGTCAGAGCTTTCTGGTCCTGCAGCTCTGTGGGTCACTGTGTATATTCCAGGACTTCTCATTCCAGGCACCCCTTTGCCCCACTGTTGTCAATTTGATCCTGGCTTTGACAAGCAGAGTAGAATTGCTCTGTAGGGTTTCCAGTACTGTAAATCTATCTCCCACAAAGCAGCTGGTGGGTTTGAACTGCTGGCCTTTCACTGACAGACGAGCACTTAACCACTGTACCATCTGCAAGCCCTTAGTATACATGTGATCTTTCAGCCAACATACTTACGGGTAGCTTACTTTCTACCAGAACATACATTCTAACAGAATTAACATAGGACTTCCAACCCACTCCCGTGCAGCCCTAGAACACCTATAAATACAAGCCTGACTAAACCTCTGCCCTGGTGCTAATGGTCACCCATGCCAGCAGTGACAGGCCTTGGCTAGATCGCTGCACACAGCCAGACACAGTGCACTTTACAGAAAGTGTCTGACTGGTTTATTATGAGAACCTATCAGCACCTTTTCTAACCTGAAATCCCAGACCTCAATTCAGGCAATGATGCTTAGAAGGTAACGATGGTTCCAGATTTCTACAGCTTTACTACAGGAAGCTTCAAATTAACTCTGGTAATTCAGAAATTCCGGAATTAATTTTTTTTTACCTCATATACTTATAGCACTATGAGTCATAGTTGAGAGCACTCAATAAGAACATAAACAGGGAGCACTGGTGGCCTTGTAGTAAGGAGTTGCACTGCCAACTGAAGGCAGGAGATTCAAATCCACCAGTTACTCTGCGGGAGAAAGAGGGACAGTTTCCTCCCCTGTGACTTCTTGACTCTGAAAACCTCAGGAGGGTCAGCTGTGAGTTGGTTTCAACTCAACAGCATATAACAACAATATATTTATAAACAGTTATAATAAAAACCTGAAGGGAAAATAGAAAGCTTTTAAAGAGGAAAAAATAATTAAATATATCCCAGATTTAATCGGAGAAAACCCCACTGCTGTTGAATTATTTATGATTCATGGCAACCCACCATCAGCTTTGTAAGGATATAAATCTTAATAGGAGGAGACTACATCATATCTCTCCCTAGGAGTGACTGGTGGATTTAAACCACCAACCTTTTGTTTAGCAGCCCAATCTTCTCTCATAGTTGTGTATTACTTTTATCTTTAAGCTTCCTGGTAACCAAAGTATAAAAGAGAGAAGGAAACAGTACATGTTTGCCCAGATTTAAATAAATAAATAGTGAAGAAAATCTGTATGGTAATGACGTCTACTAAAGAAACATTTCACTGACAGCTTTGTTTAACAAAATTCAGTGTTTGCACAATGCCTTCAAGTATATGACACATAGATATTTTTGATCTGCCTGTGATTTGTTTTCTCAGAAATGCTTACTTAAGTTTGCATCAAGAATAAAGTGCTTACACAGGAGCAATGATTTTGTAAATCACTACCTAACCTGGGAGGGACTGGAAAGCATTATGCTGAGAGAGTTAACTCAGTCCCATAAGAACAAATACTGTGTAAGATCATTATTGTAAAAATAGATAACTAGTAAAACATGTAAGAGGATTTAGGGGGGTGGGGGGAAGCAGAGGGGTGAGGATGGGCAGCCCTGGGTAATCACAGGGTCATACAATTTGATGGGTGGAGGCAGGGGTGGGTTAAGGAAATAGAAAAAGTCTGGTGAGAAAATCAATGTATACAAACTTTGTAAGTAAACCAGTATAAAATTTAAAAATAAAAATAATAAGGTCTTAATATTATATTTAACATTCTTGTGCCTGACTAGATGAATGGCTTATAATTGTTTTCTCACCTTTTCTTGGTCTTTTGACATTAACATAGCTAAGACTTAGGCTCCTTATCTAGAAAAAAGAAATGTTTCAAAGTCCCCCATTCTGGGTCACCCTGTGGCATAGATGGGGTCATACACCATTCTCCCGACAGCCTTCATCTCCTTACTTCTGATCCACATGGTCATTCAGTTCCCAGGGCCTGAAAATCTGGGCACTCGGACAAAGGATATGTTCATTTCAGTGATAAGTCAGAATAAAGTAGATACCAGAGTAGAACAAAAAAGTGACAGTACCTCTTCTCTTAACTCAGATGTGTTTTCATTATCTTATTGTGGCGAAAAAAAAATCTTTTTAAAAAAAAAACCTGACATTTTAATTATTTTTCTAAGTGTATGGTTGAGGCCACATAATTATATTCACTATGTTGTGCAACCAACACCACTGTCTGTTTCTAAAACATTTTCAGTCCCTCTGAAGAGAAATTCAATGCCCTTTCAGCAGTAATTCCCCATTTCCTCCTCCTCTTAGCCCCTGGTAATCACTAATCTACTTCATGCCTACATTTCACTATTCTAGATATTCCATTTTAGTGGGATCATTCGCTGTTTACCTTTCCATACCTGACATATTTTACTCAACATAATGCTTTCAAGGTTCATTCATATTATAGCATGAATTTAGATTTCCTTTTTCTTTATAATTAAACCATTACTGTTGAGTCAGAACTGACTCATAGCTGACCCTCCAGTGGTTTTCTATGACTGTATATCACATGGGAGAAGATTGCCCATCCTTCTCTCATGAAGCCAGTGGGTTCAAAACCTGCAGAAAGACATGGCCTTTGGCTTAGCAGTGCAATTCCCTATGGCCTAGGCTAACAGAGTTTCTTTATGGCTAAATATTATACCAATGTAAATATATATCACATATTTGTTTATCTGTTGATAGACACTTGGTTTCTTTTCACCTTTGGACATTGTGAATCAGACTACAATGAACATTAGTGTCCAAGTGACCTTTAGACCTTTTGACTATAATAGACTCACCATCCCTGATAAAAAGTTTTCCCTGGGGGCTGTCTACTATTTAAGGCCTTGCTTGTTTGGCCCCACAGATGGACCAAGCCGAGCACAAGGGAGAACTTCAGACAGACAAGATGATGAGGGCGGCTGCCAAAGACGTCCACAGGCTTCGAGGTCAAAGCTGTAAGGAGCCTCCAGAAGTGCAGTCTTTCAGGTAAAGCAGTTGGGTACCAGCCAGTTCCCCTTTACCTTCCCTACTAGCCTCGGTCATCTCACAGGCTTGCCGTTCTCATCCAGAGAAGCCCCAGCTCTCTCTGTAACAGATGCATCCTCTGCCAGGCCGTCCCCGGTGATCTATGAGCTCCACAGTGTCTTCCCTTGGCTGTCTTTATCAGTCCCCACACAACTCCAGCTAATTTGTTAAATCCTCTTGTTTAATGAATGAACCACCTGCTCCAGCCTTTCTTCTGAATGTTTCCATCACCGGTAATTGCAGAGGATTGGCTGGATGATAAATAAGCCTGGGGTGACAGATGCTTGCC